AAGTGAAAAGCCACTACAGCTTCTACAGCAGACAAACCTATCTGAAAGTGATGTCCTTAAGAAATATAAAAGAAAAAGAATCCAGGTAAGACTTGACACAGGACCTGAGAGATGCACCTGGATCTTCTGTTGATCTATCTAGTCTTCACTGAAGCCTCATCAGAAATAGCCTCGGTTGAAGTATGGCTATAAAGAAGCCGTTCTTAAGGAAGAAAAAAAAAAAGCGTGATGTATGCTAAAATCATACAAGAACCTGACCAAAAATCAGTGACAACAGGTCTGATGGGGTGATTCATCAATATGTACAGAAGGGGTCAGAAGAAGGGTACAATAATGAGTGTCAACAGCCATCTGTAATGCACAGTGGAGGCTTTGTCATGGTTTGGAGCTGTGTTTCAGACAACGGTGTCGGGATCTTGTCAAAATTGATGGAATTATGAACACAGAAGAGCAAAAATCAGTTTTTGATCCACCGAGCAATACCATTTAGAAAGGATCTGACTGCCAATGGCTTCATCTTAAACACATTGTCCATCCAGTAAAAGCATAGCTGGGTAGAAATAGACACAGTGGGTCAGCTACAGTATTATTGTTTTCCCTAAACAAAGAAAAGAAAGCCCACATTGAAACATATGAATTTATCTAAGATCATATAAACAAAGTCTAAACCAGGGGTAGGCGACTCCAGGCCTTGAGTGCCGGTGTCCTGAAGGTTTTAGATGTGTCCTTGATCCAACACAGCTGATTCAAATGGCTAAATTACCTCCTCAACATGTCTTAAAGTTCTCCAGGGGACTGGTAATGAACTAATCATTTGATTCAGGTGTGTTGACCCAGGGTGAGATCTAAAACCTGCAGGACACCGGCACTCGAGGCCTGGCGTTGCCTACCCCAGGTCTAAACAAACACTTAAACAGAAAAGCTATTTCTAGGCCTGTATTTATAAATTAATTTTCACTTTTGTTTCATTTACAGAGATTTTTGCTTGTTACTGTTTAGTAAAGATGAGGAATTACAGTCCAGTGTCGCTTAAAATAATTTTTTTCATGTTAAATAAACTGACAACATGTTTGTTTTTGTAAACCGTGGACGATTAGTTCAGGTTTTAACATTTGCCCTAGTGGGGAAGTTGCCAATAGGACTTTTGACTTTTGTCTCTTGACCCTTCTTCCCTTTCTGCACCCAACAAATGTGACCCGTCACATTTCATCACATATCAGCATGTGCAGTACTTTGACTGTTTGTCGATCTTCACTCAGGGTGGACTATGAAAGGATAAAAGCTGCGGGCCCAGACCGAGCAGCAGCAGAGTGGTTGCTGAGATGTGGTGCTAAAGTGCGCTTCCAGGGTTTTGATCGCTGGCATCTCGACTACAACGCATTGCCAACTGGGTCTCTGGGCAGATACAAGATCCAGGCGATTGACGCCACTGAATCCTGCATCATGTACAAAGGGTTTGACTACCTGGGTCAGTGTGGAGAACATCATGTTCTTGCTCTAGACTCATTGACGTCTTCACCTAATGATCGCGGGTGTTGTCTCAGATATATTTAAGTGTACAGTCACACACCTGGTGAGGCTGTTATCTT